TATCTATCTATCTATCTATCTATCTATCTATCTATCTATCTATCTATCTATCTATCTATCTATCTATCTATCTACAATGATTTTTTTTTTCAATTGTAAAGTCAGGCTAAATGACAATAATCAAAATAGTTTAACATGTTTACAATATCTTAGCCAATCTGTGCTGGATGTTTTTGTCATCAATCACAGTCCATGGAGCAATAAAAATATTTGTCCTTAAGTCTCATTGCAATATATCACGTGCAAAGTGTGCACTTCAGTCTGAGAGAGTGTTTGCATCTGCAGGTGTCACTTCATGTTCCCGTCGGCTTGTGGTTATTGACGTCGAAAGGTTCAGCCAGCAGCAGAGGGCTCAGACAAACACAAGAACTGATAATAGACAAGTGTTTCTGACACTGAACTGGTTTCTTCAACATGGCTGGTGAGTTAGATTCTTGGTTTAATCTACATTTTACAATAACAAAAAAAAAACTGTTACAGCAATTTGTAAACTTTCTTCAATATCTGCATCTTTTCAGTTCACTTAGACATTTTATTTACAAGTTCATGATTATTTTATGAGGAAAACATACAAACAAACGAAAACACTGTTTTACTGAAGAACAATTATTTTTGTCTTTTAGAATCAAAACCAACAAGAATTGTTCTCCTGGGGAAAACTGGAGCTGGAAAAAGCAGTCTTGCTAACACCATATTTGGAGAAAAACTGTTTGAAGTTCTCCCTGGATTCATATCTGGAACAAGTGTTTGTGAAGCCAAAACCAAATCTGTCAATAGCAGAAAAATCACTCTGGTTGATACACCTGGGTTCTTTGACACAAACAAAACTGAAGAGGAGTTAAAACCTGAGATAGTGAGGTGTATCACAGAGTGCTCACCTGGGCCTCATGCTTTTCTCATTGTGCTCAAAGTGGAGAGATTTACAGACCAGGAGGCAGATATAATCCACAGAATGACCAAATACTTCTCCGAAGATGTGTACAAGTATACAACAGTTGTTTTCACTAATGGTGATGAGCTCCCTGAAGGAGAGAAAATCGAGGATTTAGTGAGTCAAAATAAGTATTTGAGTGATTTAATAGAAAAGTGTGGAGGGCGGTGCCAAGTCATTGATAACAAACACTGGAACAATGACCCAAAAGACAAATGCAGAAGCAATGAGTACCAGGTGGAGGAAATACTTAAATCAATAGAGAAGATAGTGGATGCAAACAATGGAGACTGCTACACCAACGAGATGCTGCAATTAACTGAGAAACTGATTCAACAAGAAGAGAAGATGATTGCAGAGTCCTCAGAAAACAAGTCAGGAGAAGAAATCAGGAAAGAAGCTAAAAAGAGAGTGAATAAAATTCTTATCCAAGCAACAGGTATAACAGTCGGTGCACTGCTGGGAGCTTTACTTGGAGTAACAACAGCTGTTGCAGGTGTTATTGCACTGTTAATAAGTGTGGTGAAACCAACAACGGGAATAGCAGTAGTAGTAAAAGTGAAAGCAGGAGTAGCAACAGGAGCAGTAGCAGGAGCAGCAGCAGGAGCAGCAGGAGTGGAAGCAGGAGCAGCAGGAGTAGCAGCAGGAGCAGCAGGAGGAGCCATAGGAACAGGGCTTATTGCAGGAGGTGCAGTAGTAGGTGGTTTAGCTGCTGTAGGAGCTGGGTTTGGTGGTTATGTAGGACATCAAGCAGCTCAAACAGCTGAAACTCCACAGGAAGCAGCAGAAATGGCTGCAAAGGCTGTGTGGTCTGAAGGACTGAAAACTGTAAAAGGAGCTTACAATTTAGCATCACAGCTTAACAAAGAAGTAAAATACTCTTAAAAGAGGATTTAAAAAGTAACACTCCCCACTGACTGCAAATTTAAATATTTAATCACTTGACTAATAGTGTTCAATCCATCAACACAAAAAGTAAAAAAGTAACAAAATTACAATCAAAAATAGGAGTTTTCAGCTGTTTTATGTTCACATAGGTGTAGCATGAAAGAGCACTCTTCTGACAACGACCTCTTGACCTGAAGTCAGTTTTTCTAATAGAACTGAAATAATGTGTTTAAAGTTACCTTTGACATAAATACTGTCTAATGTTGCTTTAATGTTCACTGTCTTTCAATATCTAGATCAGCTACAGGCTGACAAAATGTTAATACAGTTCGTTTAATCTTTAGAAAAAAAATTAACTAAGTTTCCTTTATTTCATTATTATGTTTTATGTATAAATATTGTTGCTTTGTTGTGTGACAATAATTATAGCAATTACTATGATAAAAATCACTGAACGTTTTAATATGTTTTAACTAATGATGCATGGGCATAGATTACAATTTGTAGCTGAGCTTAATCTCAAAATTATTTTCAATCAACTGCAATGATTTTTTCAAATAAATTATTACTCTACCATGTCTGAATGTGTACATTTGTATGTTGCAC